AGACTTAAAAACAACTCTGTAGAAAAAGGCCTGATTGCACCAGGGTGCTCAAGGTCATTTCCTGTCACCACACCCTCCCTGGGAACTGGGATGTTGATAAGGTATTTCCCCCTTCTATTGTTACTCGGCTTTCTCCCGTCGACTGGCTGCTGCAGACGTCAGGCGAGTGTGCCAGGCAGGCAGCTTCTTCGCTGGTGTTTGACTCAACCTGGAGCCCCGACTGTCGGCTCTCGTGTAGGAAGTTATAAAGGAAAAGCAGGTCTGAGAAGAAGTTAGGAAGTCCTGGAGCAAACTGATAAGAAATGATGCCTTCTTCTTCAATTCCATCTTATTTATTGAGTAAGCACTGATTGTGCAAGTTATTTTTCAGGGGAGAAATCATACTGATGATGTAACGTTTCAACATCTCCTCACGCATCAAATATGATACAGCTGGTGTTAAAGGGTCAAAGAGCATGGCAGCATTAGTTTACAGGCAAAGCTGCGTTTGAACAACCCCGTCATACCAGCTGTGAAGCTGGTGGAGAGCTGATGATGTTTGTTTGCGCCCTGCAGACTCCACTACGTCTATTATCAGTCCCGTAGGACAGCGTCATCTGTCCCACAGCGAACACTCGGCACAAACAGCATTAAATTCAAATCTGCAGCTGACAAAGGAAAGAATCAAGGTGGTGCAACGCCCCAGTCAAAGTCCAGACCTCCACCTGATTGAAATGCTGCAGCGGGACCCCAAGAGAGCTGTGCATTGATCACTACCCACAAAGCTCCATGAAATGAAGGAATATTACTTCACGTTATCTCTGCTACAGGTTGTGCTGCGAGCTGCTGAATCTCAGGGTTTTTCCCAGTTCTTCGATTCCATTTAGTGACTCCTGTGAAAACGTTTCTTTCTCACATCACTGGGCAGAGTTTTCATTGTGGTTCATATTCTGGAGTTTAGTTTTACTTGGTGTTCAGAGAGTTTGTTTAGTTTTGATTCATTTCATTGTTAATTCAGGTCTTTTTAAATATAATATGCTCGGTGTTTGTCAGCGGCAAAGGTTTGTGTGCTGTAGTAGTCTGTCAATCCAGACCTGCACTTAAAGGTCAGTGATTCATATTCATGTAGACGCTCCCATCCTGCAACGTGCGGCCACAGCAGGCTGCTCTGCATGCTTGAGTTTTACGTTTTGTGCAAACCACAGCACCACTGAAATCTCATATATGTATGAAAACAATAAGGAGCGCTCACTATGAGTGATCTCAGAGCAGAGACAAAAGCAACAGGTCTTGCACATGTGTGGAACATTTACTTACATGCACAGAGTGTTAAACAAATAGACACAGGTGTCTGTTCACAAGCACAGAAACATGCAGCGTTTATCTTTAGAGAAAAAGGTGCTGACAGCCTTCGGGTGGAGCTTTGGGGCTGTGTCGCTTACTCTTTTTCACACGCTTACAAGAAATCAGTAAATAAAAGCCTCCCGTCTGAGATCACCTACTGCAGTGGTGAGAAAGCAGCAGGTGCGTAATTAAAGAAAAACACTTTTGTCGTCTTTCAGCCCTGGAGGGGGGTCAGGGGGGCCACTTCATTATTCAGGCTCCTTCTGTGTCTCTGCAAAGCTCTGAGTGGACTTTGTGTGTTTTTGGAGGGAGGGTGAAGCAGTGGTGAGTCCTCGACGGTGGGGGTGGAGGGCAGATGTTTCAGATCTGAGCTCGAGTTGGTCTGTGTGTGTGACTGTTTTACTGTTTCAGACAAACATGGTGGGAAAACGGAGCGAAACAGAAAGAGCTCTTATGATTAACGCTGATGCAGAATCTGAGTCTGAAATAAAAAACATCTATAAAAAGTCTTAAAGTGTCCGTGAGTCCAAACT